AAGCTTTTCACATAATCCTCAACAGTTTTATTCGCCCCTATTCAGAGTACGGAAACATAGTATTTCCTCCCTCTATCCAAAAGGATAAGGACACTCTTGAACGTATCTGACGTCGAGCCACGAAATCAGTTCGGGAACTCAAATTCAAACCTTATGAAGTTTCAGTTTCATTTTCAGTTTGGAAATGACAGGAGGCTTGATGGCCGTGTTAGTCCTGGCAATGATGGTCTCTCAGCTGATCCAACTTTCTTTTGAAGGAGTCGACGGATGGAGCCTCAACCACGTGCTGAGGTAATGAATTCCACTCGTTGATTATTCGATGGGAAAGTCGGTAGTCAGCTGACAGGTAATTCGTTCTGGGCTTGTGAACTTTTTTGGAGTGTCCTCGTAGATTTTCTGTTTTGGAAGGCAAGAAAAATGAGGGCATATCCGGTGCAAATTTGTCATTTAGCAATTTGAAAACTGTAATCAAGTCGCCTCTGATTCTTCTATATGACAGCGGGAATAGGTTTAGCTTGGTCAGTCTAGCACCATACGGGAGCTTCGCTATTCCGGGAATCGGTTTAGTTGCCGTTCTCTGAACCCTTTCCAAGAGTTCACTGTCTTTTTCAGGTAGGGGCTAGCTGCTTGTATGCAGTACTCAAGTTTAGACACACGAACACTGTATACAAAGTCAGAAACGTTTTAGCGTCAAGATGACTCAAAGCCCTGCGTATGGACCATAAAGTCCTAAAACCTTTGGCGGCCATTGCACGGCAGTGCGCAGTAGTCTTTAAGTCTTGACTAACGATGACGCCTAAGTCACTGTGTGTCTTGACAATAGGTAACTCAGTGTTATTCATCGTGTATGTATCAGTACCCTGGTGGCCAATATGCATCACAATACACCTGGAAGTGTTTATCGGCAATTGCCAGGTTTGGGACCATTCAGATAATCTCTCCAGGTCATTTTGAAGTTCTAAGCTATCGCCCTTGCTTTGTATCGCTCTCCATATCTTGACATCGTCAGCATAGAGTAAGACCGATGACGATAGTAGACGAGGGAGGTCATTTACGTACAGGAGGAATAACACTGCCCCCAAAATTGTACCCTGGTGGACTCCACTAAGCACAGTTTCCCAGCTAGACAACTTGGAGTTCACCCTTACTCTTTGTTGACGCCCAACTAGTAAGTCTTTTATCCACATCAATAGATTGCCTCCAATCCCGACATTCCTAAGCTTATATAACAGCCGGTTATGCGGAACTTTGTCGAAAGCTTTGCTGAAATCGATGTAAGCTACGTCTATAGGTAACTTTTGGTCCTTAAGAGCGCATCAGCTTTCACGAGCGACTAATAAGTTTGTGAGACAAGAGTAACCTGTTCTAAAACCATGCTGCTTTTCGGAGAGGATCCGGTTTTCATCGAGATACTTAAACAGCTCCTTCCGAATAATCTTTTCTAAGGTTTTAACAACCACACTAGTTAGGCTAATTGGTCGGCAATTCTCAGGCTTATGTTTTGTACCTGTTTTGAAGACTGGACTTACTATGGCGTTATTCCAGTCTTTTGGTAGACGACCCTGGGTTACGGATAGATTAAAACATACACTTAAAGGGTTCACAACAAAGTTAGCTAATTCCTTTCGTAACCTAGGATGCAGTTCATCGGGTCCAGTGGATTTACCTATGTCAAGCTTAACTAGCAGACCAAAGATATTGAGTTCTTTAATGGTCACGATGTCCAGTGTTTGTGTGGGTGGATTTTCATGAACTGGTGAGAAGGGTGTTTCTATGGTGTATACATCGCTAAAGTATTTAGAAAATACTTGAGCTTTGCCAAAGTCGTCCTCCACTAGTGATGTGGCAGTACTGTCTCCCCATAGTGAAGGAACATTTCTTCTTCTTTTTGTCCTTTGGTTTATATACGAATACAAGCGTTTAGGGCATTCTATGGATTCCCTAACGAGGCACAGGTATTTTGAGCATTTTGATACTGAGATTTTGCCTCATCAGTCCCCAGTAACCTAAATCTGTCCCACATTTTCTTTCTTTTACGAAGAAGGATGCGAACCTCCCTACTGAACCACGGTGGGGAGTTTCTCGGTCCCTTAGGTGTAGTCCAAAAAAGGTGGGGGGCGGCAACTTTTAAGTATAAATTCCGGAATACGTCCCAAACCGTTTCGATTGATGACTCTGGGTCTATTTTCCAATCTACTGATGATGCTGATTTCATGATGTCTGGTATGTTTGCTTTCCAGACGTTAGGTCTGGATTGGGCTGAGGCGTGCTCGTGATCGACAGTTATATGGAAGTCAAAGGTTAGAACTGAATGATCACTTTTGCCTAGGGATGGCATGTAATCCAGATTTGCAACTTCATCCTCATAATGAGTCAATATAAGATCTAGTAAGGATGATGCAGAACCCGGGTCGTACCTAGTTGCTTCCTTCACGTGTTGCACTAGGGCACATGTGATTACCGCATCAACTAGTTCCTGTTCGAAGGAATTTGCTGACGATTCAGTCCGCAGATTTCCCCAGTCCACCATGGGTGCATTAAAGTCCCCTAGGATTAGACATCGATCACTTCGTGATAAAGTGTTGAGACTGCTTAGCAGGACCTCGTTTACCTCACAGGTTGGACTGCGATAGATCAAACTAAGCAGCAACTCTTGTCCCATGCATTTCAGGCGGCAGCTAACTAGTTCATACGTCCCACTCTCACGGGATACACTGTCGATAATGGTGAATGGAATAGCATTCCTAATGAATAGAGCTACTCCCCCTCCTTTACGCGTTTGTATTCTATCGGCCCTTACTAAAGTAAAAGACTCGAAATCAAGTTCCCTACTATCTATAGACGGCGTCAGCCATGTTTCTGTGACTGCGATTATATCTGGCCTAGTTGAGTCAGTCTGTACACCTAGTTCCGGTAGCTTATCTAGTAAGCTCCGGGCATTGGTATAACATATCCGAAGCCTATTTAGGTGGCCTCGTGATTCACCCAGAGTGGCTTCGGCATCATCCTCTGTCGAAGCCTCACAACCCGAAAATTTACAATTTTCAGGTCTTTTTCGCCAGCGTTCAATCTGAGCTGTAGTTCTTTTTCGGCTTCCCGTCTTTTTACACGGTCCGCCAACGGTAAGTCCTTACGGAGAAAAACTCCTGAACCCTTTAATTTGTGTCCATTTTCTAAGATTAAGTCGCGTTCGTTTGGGGATTTGAAAAAGACTTTGAGTAGCCTAGACTGATTTGGCTTCAGATGCGCTAGGTTTCCTAGTCTAAACAAGGTGACTCCGGAGATGTTTTGGGGCATAACTTGGTTGAGTAGTTGTTTTATCAACACAATGTAATGCTCGAAGCGAGCTTTCGGTTCTAAGCTGTCACTCTCCTTGACTCTATGGAAAATGACTAATCTGTTGCTGTGACCAGACCTCGGCTTGTCGACCCTTTTGGTGGGGGTAGGATTCCCTTTTACGCCATTTTGCCGTTTTCTCCTTACGACCCGTACCCGATCGCCAACGTTCTTTGGAGTAGTAACCACAGTCGCGTCAGGCGTACTGTGGGATTCCGGAAGGTTCAGGACGACGTGGGAGGTTTGGTCATCTTTCGCGCTGGAAACCGATCGAGCCTTGCGATTTTGGGTTCCGGATGTTCCCTTCTGGGTTCCATTTTTGATACGATGGACAGAAAAGACTTTTTGCGCGAGTATCTGGTTGTAACAAACCTTTTTGGAGGATGTTCTTCCTCCTTTGGACAGTGTGGGTCAGCATTTTTGGGACTCACTTGGGCCTGCCTTATGTCAATCTGCGTGTCGACAGATTGAGTTCCGACTGATGTGTCCCGACTGCGTTTGCCGAGACACTTTTTCGCGGCATTTACTATTGAGATGGCCTCGGTTAACAGGCTATTTGCATCCAAACAGCACTGTTGACATAGCCATATGCATCCATTTTTACTGAACCGCTTGAAAGCTGCAGGCATTAGATTCGTGCAAACGTCGTGGTACCAACCTTTGCACTCATCGCACTGCAAGCCGCTGTCAACGGGATATCGACATCCTGGGCGGTGGCAAATGCTTTTGTTGCGTCTTCCAGTCATTTTAGGATGAGAAAGTGAGTTTCGACTAAAAGTAGAATAAAACTATAAATAGTTAGGACCAAAGTACTAACAGACACAATAGAAAAACAAAGGTACTCTGGAGTACCGACGATAAAACTATTTAGGATACCAAAAATGATACTCTAAAAGAATACTTTAACTGAAAGAAATTCAATCAAAGTATAAAACAGTAGTCTTGATACGTTAATAACGATCAAAACAATAGAATTTACTCAACGAGGAAAAATACCACTGTCCTTTTTAAATAGCGCGCGCCTCCAATCACTTAATCTTTACCTGTTAGAGTACAGGCGTCTTAGAGGTGACCTTCTTATGACTTACAGTATCCTTAACACATCTGGTCACCCCCTTAAACATCTTCTTAAGCTTAGTCATAACACTAACCTAAGAGGTAACACCCAGAAACTGATGACCCGACATAGCAGAACAGACTGTAGACACAACTTCTACTCCTTAAGAGTTGTCAAATGCTGGAATTCGCTGCCGACTGAGCTAGTCCGAGCGACTTCCCATGAGTCCTTTAAGAGGAAACTTGACCTATTCTTAAGGACTAAGGATAAAATATTATGATTTGCCAAATTCTTTTTCCCTCTATTGTCGTTAATATACTTAGGTTCTGGCCTGGAGGTATTGGCGATCCACTGCTACTAGACACGGAAGCCCGTTAAGCGAAAGCTTTTTCTATTCCGTCTTCAACCATTTGAACCATTTTACCAACAATTTGTTATTTCTGTCATTGAGATTTTAAACTCTAAATCACCTGTAGAAATCAATAGAACTATTGTAGTTAATTAATCAGGCCTATGAGAAACTGTTGAAAATTTGGTGCTTTTCTGCATTATCTGGACAAGGCAGAGAAAAAGTCAGCTTGCCTGAATCAGCTCTTTACGAATATATTGAATATTGTAGTGACATCTAAGCGCAACATTACAAATTGATTCGTTACGTGCTGGGTATGGCACTTCGATTCTCTTCACGCAGACTAGCTCCATTGGCTTCCTCAGTATATTTTCACTTTCAACAATGCGTAACACATATTTCTAGATACATCATAGGAAAATTGGTTCGGCCACTAAATATGTTCCTTTATTTGAAACGGTTCATATGCCGGAGACGAAGGTGACTACTTTGGAAAGTAATGGTTTTCGGATAGCTTCTGAAAACTGGAATACTCCTACATGCACGGTTTGTAACTCTACAGTAGTTTCACTCGATTTTAGGTTGGTGTTTGGGTGGATGTCGGTAGTCGATATGAGACAGAACATAATAATGGTGTTGCTCATTTCCTTGAGCACATGGCTTTCAAGGGGACTGAAAAGAGAAGTCAGCAGTCTTTAGAACTTGAAGTGGAAAACAAAGGTGCTCATCTAAATGCGTACACGTCTCGTGAGATGACGGTGTATTATGCGAAGTGTTTTGTTGAGGATCTTCCTTGGGGTATAGTTCATATTATTTTAATATGTACTACATAGCGGTTGAATTGCTATCGGATATATTAAAAAACAGCAAGTTTGAGAGTAGTCAGGTTGAACGTGAAAGAGGGGTCATTTTACGGGAAATGGAGGTCTGTTTAATCTTGTTTGATAATTGCGTAGGAAATTGAGAGCAATTACCAGGAAGTCGTCTTTGATTACCTGCATGCAACTGCCTATCAAGGGACTCCTCTTGGAAGGACAATTCTTGGACCTGTAGAAAATGTCAAATCTTTGAAAGCCAGTGATATGAAGAATTTTATCAAACACAACTATAAAGCACCACGAATGGTGCTCAGTGCTGCAGGAGGTATTTGAAGAGTTATTTCAAACTAATATTTTAGGAATCGACCATAAGCATCTATGCGACCTCGCGGAGAAACATTTTGGCGATTTCAAGGCATCCTATCAGGAAGGTGAAGGGGTACCGAGCCTACAACGCTGTCGTTTTACAGGCTCTGAAATTCGTGACAGAGATGATGCTATGCCAGTAGCTCATGCTGCGATAGCGTTCGAAGGTCCTGGTTGGCAAAGTCCAGACACATTAGCACTAATGGTTGCCAGCAGTTTGCATGGTGCTTGGGATAGAAGTTATGGAGGAGGATTTAATGTTGCCAGTAAACTGGCCTCCAAGTTTTTTATGGAAAATTCGGTACACAGTTTCCAACATTTCTTTACTTGCTACCATGATACTTCTTTGTGGTTAGTAATGTTTTGGATCCATTAAGTTGAATTAAATTGAGCCCATAACGTTATTTATTTAGTTGAAATACGCAGTGTCAAATGTTAGCAATATTTTGACAAGAAATATATTGCCCATTGTTGCGAAATTTCGTGGCCACATGAAGAGTAAGAATTCACAAAAAATAACAAGATCTAAATTAACTGACCGAAATTTTGTGCTGTGTAGTAAGCACATAACCGGACCCCGACCGTTGCTGCTACCTTGAAGTGGTGGTCGGGCTTGCCTATCGTGATGATCCAATCGAGCTATGCTGGCTGGAACAATCGTTCCTCAAGGTCCTACCATGCCAGACAGGTCGGTTGAAGAGCGGTGAGACTAAAAGCAGCAATCCCAAGGTCCGAAGGCGAAGTCGTACTGCTGACTGTGCAGAGGTGTGAAAGCAGTAAGGTGTTTCCTTCAGACAACCAGCATGACAGCGATGCTGCCTTCCCACAAGGAGGGGTGGGGTTAGAAAAGGTCGACCGTAAAAATGCACACCTCGCCTTATCCCACGGATTTCCGTCTCCGGCGGTAAGGACTTTTGAAGAACGGAGCTAACACGTCAAAAATCCCCCACAAAAAGGCCGTGCGTGACCGGCCTCAAGTAGATGTCCCTTGGGCACTGCGGTCATGCTCCCAGGTCGTTAAGACCAACACTAATCCAACTTCTTTTTCAGGTCCCTCAAGAAATACTCTTCCACGGTGTGGGCAGCCGGGAAAAGATACTAGCCCTCATACCCTTAACTGCACACAAGACCAAGTTGGTCGCTTTCAAATCCTTCCTACACCTAATAACTCTGTTATCTCCTCGACTAACCCTTCCCACGTCCTTTTATCACGTCGCACCGCTAGGGCAAACGATTCGAGTACACAGAACGTTATTCCTGGTCTCCTGAAACCACGCTCTAAACTGCATATAGGAACTTTTAATGTCCGAACATTGTGCCAAATAGGACAACAGGCTTCCTTAGCTAGGACTCTAGAATCTTACACCATCGATGTGTGCTGCGTCTCCGAAACGCGCATACAAGATCCGAGTAGTGTCATTCATTTGACCGCACCTAATCAAAATAAAGTTTCATCTCGATACACGCTCCGTGTATCTGGAAGCCCTGACGCTGCTTCCCGTGGCCTCGCTGGAGTAGGTATAGCATTAAGTCCTAGGGCAGAACTAGCTCTTTTAGACTGGATCCCAGTAGACAGTCGTCTATGTGCTGTCCGACTAAACGGATCAGTAAGGACCCGGAAAGATAGGGAAACTCGTCGTTGCCTCTTCGTCGTCTCTGCCTACTCTCCCACTGACTGCAGCTCAGACGATATAAAAGATGAGTTCTACAGGAAACTTTCTGACCTCCGAGAAGCTAGGCGTTCTGATGTAGTAATAGTGGCAGGTGACTTTAATGCTCAAGTAGGTAAACTAAGTGAAAGGGAAAGACGCCTGGGTGGATCTTATGGTGTGATGGCTTAAAGAACAGATAATGGCGACCGTCTGTTGCAGCTATGCTCAGATAACCGCCTATTTCTTGGAAATACTAACTTTAGGAAAAAGGAAAAACATCTTTTGACATGGCGACCCCCGAATTCGTCCCGACGTTGGACCCAATTAGATCACATCGCTATCAGCCACCGATGGAGGGGCTCGATAGAAGACTGTCGCTCATTCTGGGGCACATGCTTAGATTCAGATCATGCTCTAGTGCGAGCACGTATCTGTCTGCGTCTTACTGGACGTAGGAAAGACACTGCAGGGAAGCATCTAAAGGTTCTACTTAATGATAGGCAAGCTAAGAATATATTTCAGGAACAACTAGAAAAAAAGTTAGGCAGCCATGTAAGTTGTGTCCACCCCGAGGCAGCGTGGAATGACATCCGAAAAGCTGTGGAAACAGCAGTGATATCCGCTAATAAGGTAAACCATAACGTTAGGGAGAAACACTGGATCTCGGCAGCATCTATCGCACTGATAGATGCTCGTAAACTCATCCCACCTGGCTCTGAGCATAACGAAGAGCGGAGTCAACTTAAGCGCAGGCTTATAAGAAGTCTACGTAATGATCGTGAACAGTGGTGGGTAGCGAAAGCAAGAGAGATGGAAAAGGCAGCGGCAATAGGTAACAGCAGACAGCTATTCAGACTTATTAAAGAAACCGGTATTAGGAACCCAACTATTAGCGAAACTATCTCAGACAAAGATGGGCATATCATTCATTCTCAATCCAGGAGGTTGGATCGATGGGCAGAACACTTTAGGGATCAGTTCAACCGGCCTTCAGCCACACTTCAATTACCCACAATCCCCAGTCGTCCTGAATGGAAAATTGATGTAAGTCCTCCAACCCTCTGTGAGGTTGAAAAAGCTATAGGAAATCTGAAGCGAGGGAGAGCAGCAGGCCCTGACAGGTTGACCCCTGAGATTTTTAAGGATGGTGGTCCAGTACTAGCAGTGAGATTGACTGAGGTCTTAGGTAGAATCTGGGAACTGGACGTAATTCCATCTGACTGGTCCCAATCACTGATTGTGCCAGTCTATAAGAAAGGACAAAAGTCCTCCTGTGACAATCACAGGGATCAGTTTGACTAATATAGTGTCTAAAATATTAGCTTCAATAATACTAGGTCGCCTAACTAAAGCTCGTGACGAGCAGACTAGAGAAAACCAGTCTGGTTTCCAACCATGACGTGGTTGCATAGACCAGATATTCACTCTACGCCAGGCCCTAGAACATAGACACACATTCAGACTTCTCACAGTCGTAGTATTTCTCGACCTTAAGGAGGCATTTGACTCAGTCGATCGTGAGGTTCTATGGTAGTGTTTGTCAGTGAAAGGAGTACCAAAGAAGTACATTAACCTCATAAAGGCTCTCTACTCGAACACAACTGGTCGAGTTAGAGCCTATGGCGAACATTCATCAGAATTGGTTACCTCAGGTGGCGTTCGTCAGGGTTGTCCACTCTCCCCACTCTTGTTTAACTTTGTCGTTGACATGCTTTTAGAGATATCACTTTCATCATCTCAATCTCCTGGAGTTGAACTTTTACCGGGAGGCTCACTTGTTGACTTGGAATTCGCCAACGACATAGTTTTATTTGGCGAAGACGCTGACAACATGCAGAGTCTTCTGACCACTATAAGCAACTATGCAGGCATGTTCGGAATGCGATTCTCTCCCTCGAAGTGCAAAATGTTACTTCAGGATTGGGTTGCATCGACACCTGAACTAATGATAGGGAGTGAAGTAGTTGAGCGTGTAGACCACTTCACTTATCTTGGGAGTCTCATCAGCCCTTGTGGTCTGGTATGTGACGAAATCTCAGCACGGATACAGAAGGCTCGTCTAGCTTTCGCCAACTTGCGTCATTTATGGCGTAGGCGAGATATCCGTCTAGCAACCAAAGGACGGGTTTACTGTGCAGCAGTTCATTCCGTCCTACATTATGGCAGTGAAACATGGCCAATAAGAGTAGAGGATATTCGTAGGCTACTAGTGTTCGATCATAGGTGTCTTCGAAGCATTGCTCGTATATCCTGGGACCACCGGGTAAGTAATGCAGTTGTTAGGAAACGAGTACTAGGTAGGGATAGCAAATCGATTGATGAAGTAGTGAAACTTCATCAGTTGAGATGGCTGGGACACGTGTTACGTATGCCCGACCACCGACTGCCCCGACGTGCAATGTTTCATGGTGTAGGAGTAGGTTGGAAGAAAGCTAGGGGTGGCCAGACCAAAACGTGGCACAAATCAATGAAGTCACTGACAAGTAGACTGGGCCATGTTAGTAGGTGTAGACTACCTGGTTGGGATTCGCGAGATGACAGCAACCGATGGTTAGAGACCTTGAATGACATGGCTCAAAATCGTTTGCAATGACGAAAGTGCATCCACTCTTTGTGTTCTACCAAATTCTAATCTTCTGAATTCCTCATGTCTTTATCTTTTTCTCTTTCCAAATTTATTTCACTGTACTATACTCCTTCAATAATTTCTTCAAACCCCTAATCTTTTGGATTTCTGATTATACTCCTACTACTTCTACCACTATGGGATTTGAATCGACAACTGCATCTCTGTGCTAATGTGGTATGGCAACTCGAACTGATGTACGTACGTACGAAGTTCTACGTTGTGACTGACTGACATAACCGGATTTTAGAACCAGCTTCCAACTGTGTAGAATAGGCACAAACATTACAGTAACTCTACACAGTTATCCCAGCTATCATTAGTCAAAATTCCTGCTCTAACTTACTAATTAAGCTTTGTACGAATAAAGAATGTATTCGTCTTTTACTGTACACTGTTTTCAATCTCAACTGAAAGCTATTGATCTGTCGCAAAACTTGCTTCAATCAATGTTGTAAAAAATTTTAGGTTACAAACGAACAAAGTGTGGTCAGTTACAAACGTACTTATACTTATGTTGTAGCATTCCTTATCAACACAAAAACTGAATAATAAAAGTAGAGAGGTGGAAGTAATTTTCGGTGAAATGAAGGACGATATGCGAAACATATCTGATATAAACAAATTGGGTTAAATTTTAAGTTAATAACAGTAATATCAGTGTGTAAATTGGTTAGTGTGATCAGGTACTCGGCCCCCTAGGACTAACTAGTGGGGTTAGTCTCGAGCTTCTTTGCATTGCATTTCTTAATATTTCAAATTTTTCAGAAACCACTTTGTCAGGGTTTGCATTTGATATGAATTTTCTTTGAGTATTGTAGGTTAGTCATAGTACCCTCAGCTTCTAGGTCACTGTATATGATTGTGTCCAACAACCAAATGCAAATATCATCATTTACTTCGTCACATTTTAACTACGCTTCTAATGCTACAATTGGGGTAAAAACCAAAAGGCTAATGAATTAGTCTGAATGGAGTTTAAGATAGACTTACTCCTTAATTAGTCTAGTTTGGTGCAGAAGATGTAGTCAAGTGTGGCAATCATTTGAGTATTCCTATCTGCTCTGGTGGGTCGTAGTCCACTTCGAGAGGAATAGAAAACTCCCCTGGTTTTCGCCAACTTATCTTGAGAGTTATGATTGCGTTATCGCTAAATGTCTTCATTTACACGATATGGCTTATGAAATAAATGATCTTTAATGTGAGTTATGTTTCTAAATGCCTTTTTATCAAGGTATATGTGTTCAATTTGTTGAAACAATCAATACATATTTTGGTATCATTGCGAAGGTTTGAATTGATAATTTCAAACAGATTGAGCATTGGGTAGATTGTTACAGATAAAAATAATATGTTTGTACTATCCCAATGAGTAAAAAAACTTGGATTTTTTGGAGTTTCGTGACTCAGTATGAGCCGATTCTCTAGAGAATCTAAATTTTCTACTCATTAGGATATTACAAACATACTTTTACTTACAGTACATATGTTTTTCACTATTCATCGTACTTTCTCTTCGCACACGTAATACTGTCGTTTTCATTTGTTTAAGTTAGCCTGTGGTTATATATCTCACTACTCTATATACTCTATACTACTATATTTCTTACTACTTTTTAGGGGAGTTTACTTAACAGCAGAAAAAATGGGTTTGGGTGAATCTGTTGGAGAATTCCTTAAAGAATTTGTCCGTATGTGTACTCACGTTACTCAGCATGAAATCGATAGAGCAAAGAACCAATTGAAAACACATCTCCTTTTGCAGTTAGATGGTACCACGCCTATATGTGAAGAGATTGGTCGGCACATGTTGGTGTATGGTCGTCGTATACCTATAACTGAATTGCTAGCCAGAATTGACGTAAGTTAGACTTAAAATAGTTGGAATTTCCTTACGAGCATCGTATCAAAATCGCTTGCTTCCTGGGTTATCAGCCTAACTTTTATCTGGCTTATTTATGTTAATAACTAAAAGTTTGTTGACTTATTTCTTTCTGTTAAAACTTCATTCTATTCATGATCCTACCGATTGTTCATCTGACAACAATGTAATGACTTTTTTCAAACCATTTTCAGTTTTTTATTTATACACAGAATGAGCAGTTTTCGTAGGATAAACTCATTTGAGGATCTTACACAAAACTGACGAATTTAAAAGTAGTTGATTTTACCTCACATTCCGTTTGCAGTCTGCTAGTTTTACTTCGTCTGCATTATTCGTCATTTTCTGAAGAAAGATGTGGATTGAAAGCAATGTGTCAAGAACCATTTATCAACTGAATCGTTGTAAAATTATAACTGATTGTGATGCCTCTAATTATCCTCCATCAATTACAATAGCACATATATGTGTCGTTCTTTTTAAGTAAACAAAAAGGAAAAATACAGGTTTATCAATGTTGCATTTCATATTGCTTAGTTTCTGATCATAATAGTGAGTTCACAGTATTTTTGATGCTCGACTTGTTACAACAGGTTTCAGAAATATTATCTTTTGGTTATAAGCGTCCTGATGGTTGTAGTAGTATCGGTAAGATAGATATTAAAATAAGTTTTAGAACTTATACACCCATAAGTCTATTGCTCTGCTAGTTGGTTGGTGTTATAAATCTTTAAACAGTAGGTATAAAGCGTAGGGTTTAATAAGATCAAAGGTTGCCTCAGAGATAAAACGGTGGTAAGTTTTCTGTAACTGAACTGTATGTAGTTGGTAAATGTATAAGTTACCCTTTTGAACTTCAGTAATGATTATTTTTACGAAATAAGTTAGACAATAAATTGGATGGTTTTTCCAAATTTTGTTAAATATAATGCTTTCTGTACGTTTATTGTTTAGGCGCTCAATGCTGAACATATTAAGGAAATATGCATGAAGTACTTTTTTGATAAATGCCCTGCTGTCGCGTCTATCGGTAACTGTTTTCATAATTTATATAATTGTACTGTTAAATGTTGGCATTCACTTACACAAATGTTAGTTGCATTTACTTTTGGACTATTGTTTCAGTTATCAGAACTGGTGTATTTATGAGATATTTATTGGCCTATTTATAAAACTGGAATGTAAAGGCAGTAAATTTTAGTTACTAGCATTATGTTACTTGAACGTTTGTTCTTGAATTACCCAGCTAAGTGTCATACTACTTCACGTAGTTACTTTCGTTTTAAGGACTGCTGGTACCGCCAAAAAGTGATAGATTTTGTATGACTTAGCGTAAGTTAACTGTATTTAAAAGAGATTTTATTAAAATAGTGAGACCGAAACAAAGATTTCGTTATTTTTCTGACATACTTTAGTATATTAGCGAATAGGCCGTGACAGAGTTGAAGTAATTTCAGTTTTTGTTTTGTGAAAAATGGGCAATAAATGCAAATTACTTGTGCAAAATAAGATGATATGTATTCGCTAACTAAAATCAGTCGACCGGAATTTTACTTATATTTTGCTGGGCTTACGTAGCCTATTCCCATTAGATTTACGCCATCTTACAGGAATTTCGAGATAATTTTGCTGTTTTTCATAATCAGACGATGTAGTTCCGTTACAAACGTAAGCAGTTGATAAGTTGTACAAGGATTCTCCTGCTACGACGAAAATTATTGGAAGCTTGCTAAGGATTTAGGTTTAGAAACACCAAATAAAATCTGACTTGTCATCGTTTTGAAGACCATAAGGTTTTTTTATTGGCCTTGAGTAAACCAACATGATATTTTAAATGTGAATCATATCCGTTACAATGGATAAGTTCTCGTATAGTTTCAATTCTGTATGCTATTTATTCGTGTATTATAATCCGGATATTCCGGACTTAATTATAAAGTTTTGAGAACCATTGTCCTTCCTTTTTTCTGTACTCCAGGTCCAGTGGAAACTATGCTTGATTACAATCGTATTCGGGATAAAACTTGGTGGCTTCTACTATAGAAACATTATTAGTGTTTAAAATATCAAGTTGTGATGTTATTGCTTACAATCCAATTATACTTACATAGTTCTGTAATTTCTATTATACGGTATTATCTTGTGTTTACGTAGCAATATTCATTTCTTCCTAGAGTGGATTATTTTGAGTCCTAGTTATACTGATGTATTTAAACTGTGTTTTGTGATTATGTCTGTCCTCATAAATCAGTCGTACTGTGCGAATACATGTAAGTAATATCAAGAAATGACCGATAGATGTTGGAAATTTTAATCTAGTACTTCAGATGCTAAACTCCTGGTGCAGTAATAAAAGTTGGCACAGTGGTACACATGGAAAATCATTTACTTATTTATAAAATACATAGTTTCCGAGGGTACAGTTGAACAGTAAGTATGCAGTCATAACGTTTAGCACAGTACTGATACTACTAAGAGTCGATTCTAGAGTCAAAGGTTCAGTGGACAGAAACATATTAGGTATGTGTTTTATTTACTGCACTAATGTTGGATTCGGGATTTTGTTATTTGAGAAACCTGTACATTTTCGGATTTATAAAGTTCCAAGTGTTAAAGTCGAACAACCTAATGTATGTGGTTTCAATGCAGTTGATTAAAGATTTAGGTTAAGTACTATGGAACAGCTAAAATAAACAGCTGTGTTTATTAACTCTAAATAGTTGAACGTTTCTAAGTGTGGTTCATTTTCAAACTTAGTAAGTTCCAGTAGTTATAGACCATTTAAAAATAAGCAGTTATGTGCATTGACACTTACTTGACCGTCATCAGTGTTTTTGTGCCTGGAGTATAATAGTCAATTATATTTCCTTCTATCCTCTCACCGTTTACAAGAACAGATTCCTCTCTGAATTCAGGATGTAGGATGTCTCTGTTACAACGCAGTATTTTGAGGCATTAACAAAGAAATTTATGTCATCTTACCTATAGGTAGAAGAAACATTGGCTTCATCCAAAAGGTAGTCTTCATTATTGCCACTTTTACTGACAAATACCCGCTCACATTTTTCTATGTGTCACAAACATAATTATGTGATTAAATATCCATAAACAAAAATCCCACTGTAAAAACCGCGAAATCTGACAGTTATAACTAGTTAGTAAGATATAAAAAACAACTGTATCTAACATCAAGTACTTATCTCACAATTTGGTTATAAAGGCATCTCTGTTGGCGTCAGAATTTCCTAAAACATGAAGAGATACAACGGATTCAAGTTAATTGTCAAATTATTTTTATTCTGCAGTTATAGGACTTGGGAGTTTGTTAAGGGAAACTAGGTAAAACTCTAGCGCTACCCGGTAAATTTCGGCAACAAGCAATGTTTCAAATAAAGGTACTAACAGTTGCTCAAAAATCGATAATCTGTGCAGTGAGATGTAAGCCGGCTTGCGTTCAATAACCCAACCATACCCCTCTAAGATGTTAGGTTGAAGCAATAAGGAAATATTTAGCAGTCGTCTTCTTAGGGCAGTCATTGTAATACAAATCCAATTAAACATATCTCTTTGTAGCTCGTTTTCTCCTCAGCAATGGTTGTTGGAAGGAATAAATTCCTTTAGCCAATTCCACGGAAAGTCGCCAACGATGGTACAATAATTTCTAATGGAAATCAACAGATTATGAGATGGCAGTAAGAATATATATACTAATCAGGTTGAAAGACAGTGATTATGTGATAAGTCAACCGCATTTGGAAAGTTGTAGTACCGTGCTTCGCTAATCGTTTACCTCGATAACCGTTAGAATACAAATCTTAACGGTGCATAAAGGCAGAGAGGAGCGGCAACTACAGTTTTATTGACAAATAACATAGGCCAGAAAAGCTATAAGCACATGAGCAAGTATCAGCAAGCGAGCGCAGGCAATTTATAGTCAAATTGAATATGGGCACAGCAAAAAAAAGCTGGTAACAGGATTTGCGTGCATACATATATGGGGTGGAGGATGAGTCATCGAATAATATTTAAGCAATCAACATTTTGGTTAGAGTGTCGTGTGCCCCAGTGGTCATAACATTACAAAGAAATATGCAAATGGTTACAATCCAAATGACGATGTCTGTTAAGTTAATAAAAAGACAACCAATATTGAACATGATAGAAATTGATTGTAGGATAGTTGCTATAATGTGGCAACTTACAGCATTCAAACCAAGAGTTAATGTGGTCATTACAAGGGAGAAGTTTTGCATTTTACAACAACAAAGGATCTGTAATAAGCACTTCTTTAGAGTTCCAAATCAAAATAACTTGAGAGTATCATCAGGTTTGTTAAAGGAATATCATCACAAATATGGAACACGGAAACAAAGCTGCAAACATCCTGTGGTATCTGATATCTGTTGTTTACGAAAAAAAGGATGTTATTTGTAATTGAAGGTAAAGTGTTCAAATAGATTCACTAAAAGTTTAAGCACTTCAGAACAAGTTAAGAAATAAACTCACGTACGTAATGAATCACATTAATAACAGCAAGAGTGCTTACTTCGAAAATCATATTAGTGTCATGGAACTCATTAACCAAGTAAAAGTTTATGTACCTTGACCTCAGTAACGCTTTACGTGAGGGACACCGACAATATAGTACTACCCAAAGCAGGTGGCACGAAGTTCGTATCTACTACCGATTAATTGAAATCCAAGTACTGTAACGAACAAGCCGCTGTCCTATGAAATATAAAAGGTAGAGTTCATCTATTCAGTTCTATTCCCAACAGAAATATTATTTTATAATTGAGAAGCTTAAGAAGTTGAGGATTGTTTAAAGTGGTAATGCTTGTTGTAAAAGGTCTTTTTAGCATTTTATTTATCGTTACAATAAGAAGTTTATCTGTGACGTGTAACGTAAGTCACTTACAAACAAAAAGATCTATGCACTAAAAGTCATTGATAGTTATCGCTTCATTTTTTACGTGATGAGGGCAAGTTTGTGTTTCTATTTTTCAAAGAATATTCACTGTACGAAAAAGGCCGTTAATACTCATCGAATATATGATGGACTTCTCCAGGAAAATTAATGTAATTGGAGATACCTAGTAAGGTAGTAAGCGGCATATTATTGTAATTACAGCTAATACATATACTGCATTAAAAGTCAAGAAAATGAAAACAGCCTCAGTGTTTCCTCGTTTGACAAGTGGATGTTAAGTTTTTACACCTGCCTTTTGTTTATATTTGTAAGTTATTTCTCTACCTAACAAAAATATCTACATAATTTATGGTATGATACTTTAATTAGAAATACTGACTTGATGTCATTATCAACGAGTTATTTTTCTCTTCAATCAACTTACCATTCACATTAAAGTTGAACACTTGTATAAAGTTGGCAACATAAACCTTTAGAAATATGAATAGTGGCTAGCAGTAGAATCCAGGATGCGCACTTCGTGCTATTTGAGACTCGTCAGCTGGATGTACCTGCATCCCAGAGTTGATTTTCACATATGCCAACAAGAGAATGATCAATTGCAGTCCTAAAAAACAGAGGGAAGACACAAGCAAACAACACCAAGTGAATTTAAACCTTTAGATCTTGACTTAGTAGTTTAAAAACGTCGTTCTCATTTAAGGATTTAAACGTCTTAGCCTAGATTGTGTGTAAAATATATACATACACTAATTAGTTGTCTCACTAAGTTTTAATAGTTCTCTAGCTGATATCATTTTGTAATCAAAACTAGTTGCAAAATGAGTAATCATAAACTTTCTTACTTCTATGAGTATAATTTACTCATTCTAACTAATTCCTGGTACGGCCGAGAGTGGGGAAAGTTCGCTCTCCCTCTCGAAATGCTCTCACATGGTCACGCGTATATAGCCTCTGCCAGGGAAGTCCTACTCACTGCCTTCTCGTGGCATTACTGTTGTTTACGAAATTGAGAGGACGAAAAACGAATGTCCTGCACTTTAACCGTGTTGGTGGACACGGAAAGTTCACCTAGGGGAGTTGGAAAACCCTGATTCCAAACCAATGGTGCACATGGGCTCCGGCGTCCTGAGGGAACAAATGGCGTATGAACCAATCGTTTGTCACCGGCTACCATGGGAATGCATCTACTGACTTTTCTCCACTGTCTTGTGGATCAGACCTTTAGGTCAAAGGCTCCGGGTGTGGTCCCTTAAGAAAACCACCTGCTTCCATTTGGGTACCTCAGCAGTATCACAGCCCTCACACAAATCAAATAAGATTTGTGCGGCGCATATGTATCCGGTGCTTCCTTGTACCAGTATTTATGTGTTTAAATAAAATAATAAAAAAATAAAGGTGGATAGAAATCAGTTTTCAGAATAATCATCACCTTTTTTTCATAAGAATAATAAATACCAACAATTGTTTATCATCAAAATATTGAACTACATTAGAATCCAATTACACCAGCATTATTTGTCCTATCATGTTTTAAAACTTTTCCAATATCCTTTTTATCACATTTTAGTTAGCCATAAATAAACTTTACCATAATTTTAAACCAATACAATTTTAAAACCAACAAAGATATATAATTGGTTAACCAATAAAAAATAAGGATAATTTTGCTACGTTATAAACTACTGAATTCATGTTTGTGATTTGTTTTGAAATGTTAAGAATGTTGCTTTTTTTTTCTTTTAATTGTATTGCTTTCATTCATCATTGAAAGATTAATGGATAGTATTGTGATTGTCAAAGATAAAAAAATTAATGACTTACTAAAATGGATACTTTAAATAGTAGTTGTAATGAATTACAAACAATTAATTCTACAAATTCATCATTTAAAATGATGATTTTATTTGTTAATATAAAATTTTTGGCAATTATTATTCAATTAATTGGGATACCATTAAATTTATTTGTATTACATGGATTACTCAATGTGAAATTAGGATCACGTTTAACAACATTACTATTATGTAATCAATGTATATTTGATTGTCTTATTTGTACATTTGCTTTATTAAAAATATTAAAATCTGAACGTTGGTATACAGGTTATATAATTATTGATAGTATACTATGCTACTTATGGTTTAGTCATACATTATTTTGGTTGGTTGTATTACTAAGTTTAAGTAATATGATGTGTACAGCATTAGATCGTTTAGGAGCTGTTGTCTGTAGTCGTACATATCAATTACGTCAAAATATTTACATAACATTATCATATACAAGTATTTCAATTTACTCATTAATATTAATCGCTATCAATCCATTATTATTACAATATCGTGATCAAAAATGTTATGATACAATATTATATGATAAAAACTGGATATATATATTAATGAAAGTGGATTCTATACTATGGCCATTTCTTAGTTATTTATTTCCATGTGTTTTAACTATCACTGTGTATGGAAAAGTTATAGGAGTGTTGAGAAGTACAAAATTTTGCCATCAATATAATAATAATAGTTGTAGTACTGCTATCAATGATAAAATTAGTATTGATAGTAGTACTAATAATTGTTGGACACGTACAATCTCAAGTCATAAATTAACTGTATCCTATGCTAAACAAAAAAGAAATCGTAAAATTGCTCAGTCTTTAACAATAGCTACATGTATCATGCAAACAATATTTTTAATTACACATTCATATGACAGAATTTATTACTTTCTTGGTATACATCAATGGATACTATATCAAATTGATTGTACAACTCATTTAATTGGTTTATGGCTTGTAACATTGAATAGTTGTATTAATCCAAGTACTCTTATATTTATTGTACGTCCATTACAAATCTATCTTATTCAAACCATTAACCAGTGTTGTTGTAAATATTCAAAACGATCCAATACACAAACATCAAAAAATTATTTAAATGAACAACAATCTGAAACGCGTTTAAGCAGAACAGAATTTGGAGATAGGTCAAATCGAATTAAATCACAATCAAGTATCCTGTCTAGAAAAAATTCAATACTGTGAGAAAAAAACATTTTCTAATATGTTTTTATATTCAATGATATATTCTCCGAATCCGTTGCAAAGGTAGCTTTTTATTGATGAACATCAACAGTGGAATAACAATCATTACGATACAATCTTTTTTTTAAAAAATTGAACAAATGAGTGTTATATTTTTCTAACTTCAATATTTAGCTAAATGTGTATGTGCTACCGTTGAGGCACCTATTATGAAAGAGAGTAACATGAATATAATGATTGTTATTACTTCTTGTATACTATGAGAATACTGAAAGATTTGTTAGTATTCCTACAAAGCTTATCAGAGCACTATTTTATGAACGAAATTTCATGAATACATTTTTTTTTACTTTCTTGGTTAGTAAACATTCAATGCACATTTTGTGATGATAATTAACTTTTAATGATTTAATTAAGTCATTTAGTCAAATACGTTTCAAGTTAGAAATCAGAGTACTCATTTTGAATTCTATATGACTGGTAACCGGCAGAATTAATTTCTTATTACCATTAGTCGAAATGACAAGATGTTCAACTAAGTCTGAACTCAATACAAATGATTCATCTTTTTTTTAATTAGAGTGATCACTTTATAATTATTATCACAATAGAAAGTTATAACTAGTTTGAATCTTTCTTGAAAACTTTCATTATTTAAAGTATTAAACATTAATTTGTCGTAATAGTTTTTCCTGTTTCATTTTCAAATCTATTACATTGTCACTGACTGGCAAAATAACATTGTTATTTTACTGATTTTAGATAAATTGATGAACGAACACCGTTATATCAAGTGTACAAAATGAGGATTTCCCTTATAACAATCAAAATTGAGTTAGAAATTGTTTTAGAATGTTTTGTCGGTTACTTGAAGATTATAATCACGACATCTATACTATTTCATAAAAGTTTCCCGATTAAAATTGTAATATTCAATAAGTAACATTTATTTAATCATAATGACTTGTTTGCACTAGCACTTGTGTCTACTTTAGCACTTCGATCATATGTCTGTACTAGGTTGTCAGTGGGTCAATTGTAAGTAACGCTTCAGATTAATATATTAGCACAGTTAGATGATAATATCAAGATGGATGTCAGAGTACTAGTTTTACTGCTAGTAACGGTATTAGTAGCAGTGGAAAACATTAAACATAGACAATATAATTCTAGAAGAAAGAAACAACTAGTTGAATGAAAAGTATATAACAATTTAAAAAAACCGTAAATCTAAGAAAAGACAAAAAGTGAATGCACCTGCTCTTTTGCGACTGATTGTCAACATTATCACTGTCTTCAATTATTAGTTATAATAATTGTAAAGACGACAATCGGGAATTCTGTACCTAACAACAAGGCTCAATCCAGCAAACAGTGATTTTATAGACTGATGTTAAGTCTTGGTCCAAGTGTCCCCATATTTCGTCCTATTCACTCCTATCCAAGAAAACATCTCACTTAGAGGTAAGCGGTGGTTAGACATAAGTTATACATGACCTAACCATCTCATTTGACACGTGTTCACTATCCCATTAGACTAATTATCATTTTGACCAGGTGCTGTACGCTCAACCTCATCAGTGAAATTTTTAATCCAGGAGTTCTGAATTTAACTGAGTTGGATAGTTTGTGGACATTAGTTCAGTTTGAAACTAGTTCTTAACACTGACTTATATCAATTTGGAGAAAAATGTTAGGAGTAAAGCATAATGATTAATGGCAATTGATAACGTAAGCTGGAAATATAGTAACGTCGGTTTACATTACTCATAAACCACAAAATGAATCGAACTAGCAGCTTGTTTAACTCTTCTTGTTTTCTAATGATTCTCTAGCTAGTGTCACCACACAGAGAAGGTGATCTTCAAATTAAAAATTTAATCTTAACAAAATTATAAAGAACCTTTGTAAAATGTTATTTTTAAAAATTTGGTTTACCTTATTATTCATAAAAAGAAGATATATATATATATATATATATATATATATATATATATATATAAAACTTATTTACGCCTGTTGCTCCTCATGGAGGAGCATAGGCTGCTCACCAGTATTCGCCACCCAACTCTGTCCTGATAAATCGTTTCCAGTTCTTCCCAGTTGCTATTCATTCTCATATCTGCTTCCGATTCCTGACGTAGTCTGTTCTTTGGCCTTTCTCTTTTCCGTTTCCCATTAGGATTCCAAGTTAGAGCTTGCCTCGTGATGCAGTTTGGTGATTTCCTCAATGTATGTCCTATCCACGAACTCCGACGTCTTATCCTAATTTCCTCCTCAGCTGGAACCTGGTTTATTCTCTCCCACAGTAGGTTGTTGCTGATTGTATCCAACCAACGAACATTCAGTATCTTAAGTAAAAAACTGTTTATAAATACTTGTACTGTTTTAATGACTGTTGTGATAGTTCCTCAACTCAACGAATTCAAGATAACTCTCAACAATAGGTCACATGTTTTACGGGATCTACTGAATAATAATAAGAAGAAACTACTACGCAGGACAACTGGGAATGGATCAAAGAAGTACTAACTTCAACGTGTCAGGAGGTTCTTGGTCATAAGAAACCTTCTCGTGAGGAATGGATCTCTATCGAAACCGTGTGCAGGATTCAAGCAAGCAAAAACACGAAAACAGAAATTAACAACAGTCGAACAGGAACAGAGAAAGTTGAGCCACGCACCGAAAACTCTGAGTGGAAAAAACAAGTGGACCGAAAATGGGAAATACGTGGAAGACCTATCAACGACAGTGAAAAAGCCGCAAGAGAAGGAAGTATGAAACAACTATATGACAGAACAAATAAACTGGTAGGGAAATATAGTAAGTGAGCGAGACTGGTCAAGGACAGAGAAGGCAAGCCAATGACTGAGATTCGAGAACAGAGGAACAGATTGTTGAGATATTATAAGGAACTCTTGAATAGGCCAACCCTGATGAATGCACCAGACACTGACATGGCACACACAGATCTGCCTACATCTGTCACTCCACCAACGATTGAAGAAATCAGGATGGCAAATGAAGAATGGGAAAGCAGAAAGACCTGACGATATACCAGTTGAAGCACTGAAGTCAAACATGGAAGTAACTGGAAACATGCTCCATGTCCTATTCAGTAAAATTTAGGAAGAAGAACAAGTCTCGATGGATTGGAAATACGGATTTCTCATCAAGATATCAAACAAAGCAGATCTCAGCAAGTACGAAAACAAAAGAGGGGTCACACTACTATCGGTCACTGGGAAAGTTTTCAATGGGCTGTTGGTGACGCGCATGATGTATTCCAGTTTTGACCACGATTTATCTGTTTTGTACGGATTTATGTCACAGTGGCTATATAGATACAATCTTCATTGGGTGCACATTTGTGAACCAAGATTGATCAAATTTCAGTCAAAATATTAATTACGAGATAATCCAATCCATTTACAATCGAATTATTTCCTCTGTATGCTTTCCTAGACGTTATTGAATGAGATATTCGCTGCTGATGCTATGATGGAAAAGCCCATTTGTTTTCGTTTTATTTTATGTAAATAAATTAAGGGCATGGTTTTTAAATATCGACTTAATTCCTTTATTCCTCTCGTTTATACTTTCAAGAGGACGGAACAGTTGTTTCTCAATACTACACTACAATTAAGCTTTAAGACAATGTGTTGACTCAAAATAACACAGTATATTATGCAAACTTCAAACATATTGACCATTTCGTTATATAAGGTGATATATTACTTTGTTCAACTTTTACTATTACACATGGAGAGTGATAAATTTTGTTTAATTCCTAACCTTCATTTAATCAAGTTATAAGCGAACTGTTGTTTATCATTATATTCAGTTATCCATCTACACATATACTTAAGGGTTATTATAAAATGACCAGAATTTTGATGTGTATTCTAATCTACCTAGTCATAATGTTTTCTCTTTTTGTTGTGAGAATATTACCATTAAACTCTATTGACTTTTTACTAGTGTAATGAAAAAAACACGACTGGGGACAATCGAATGTATTTAAGCAAAAATTACAGACCATCTCACTAAATTCTGATAACCATACAATGTACAGCAATTGCCTCAATCTTCACTGTTCCTTCTGTAAATATTAGTTCATCTTCTCCAATTTCATTGTTCATGCATTTTCTCATCAATTGCGCTACATTTAAGGTCTTTCCCTATCGGTCTTCTGCCAAAATACATTCTATGTCTGACCATCACCATATACTACTTATATGGATATAAGTAGACCACACCACACTAGCACAGTAAAAATAACGCAAACATCTTAAAACAATAAAATAACAACGGTAGTTTCTATATGCCTTTTATGTTAACACATATGTTAGTGACATTCTATTGTGTGTGTTTTGTTATTTTTCATGTAAGTGTTTATCATTTGCTTTTGTAATTTGTAAACTTTACAAATTAAAATTACACTTTTGGTATTTTGTAAAAATATAAGTGGTTTCTTTTTTTGGTTTTCTTCTTGTTTGATGGAGTTTTGTTCTCTGAGCTGGATGGTTTGGTCGTGAAGCTTTCATCGTCCTTCTGAACGACATTATCAGCACAAACCTCGGGTAGTTTGTGCTGATGATGTCGTCCAGAAGGACGATGAAAGCTCCACGACCAAACCATCCAGCTCAGAGAACAAACCTACATCAAAATCACCCACCTGAGCTACAAAACTTATCTACCATCTTCTTATTTGTATTACAAATTGGATATAACTTGGTGATTTAGTTATAACTATGGATTAAATAGTTGAAGAAAGATTCAAGACAAAATTTTTGACAGCTGATAAAATTAACTCCATTATTTTAAATAAACAGAATTTGTTAATTAATTCTTTCTTTGTTTAAAACGATCGTTTTGATTGGAATAGTGTTTTGTGTAAATTGTGTAACAAATCTAAACATTAAAAATATTATTTTGTACTTATAATGCTACAACTGTTTGAACAGATAATGAATAGGAAAGTACAATGATATGACTAATATGGAAGCGAATACTATAATTTGAGGAAAACGAGTGATGGATTTCTTTCTGTTTCAAGTTAACTGAAGTTAGTAATGTTATTTAATGGAAGTACAGTTTTACTGTACTAGATGGGTCCAAAAACCCAACTTATGAAAGTTGGGCAATTTTTTCTTTGATTGTTTTTTATGTATTCAACTGATATTTTTTTAAACGTTTGTTCTATAATTTATTATATTGTTTAAATTGTACGCTCTTTCTTAATTCATTGATTACTGTTATATCTTTTACTGATTATTAATAAAAGTTGATTATATGTTCTTTATTTGGTTCTGTAGGGAAAAAATGTAGTTGAGCATTCAATGGAATCTATAAATTGTGGTACATTTTAGTTTAATCCGTTATTTGTATATTGATGAGTCATAAATCAAAACAATAAAAATTATCTATCATCATTCGATTGATCTTTTATTGTTCTAATGAGAGATTTAGAAGAGTACACTACGCTACTACTACACTACTGTCTTATTGTACTGGAGAGACACTAAACCTATTACTTACTTACTTACTTTCGCCTGTTACTCCCAATGGAGCATAGGCCACCGACCAGCATT